TTACGATTCACATTACTTTATTGTAAATCGTTCGGAGTTTTGGGTACTTAGAAGATACATAAAAAAACCTATATAAATAATATTGATATAAAAGATAAACTATGTAAAATGTATGTCGGTCTTATAAAAGCAACGACTAACTAAATTGTTCTATGCATAGAAGACTAGCCAACACTATGAATGCATAAAACGATATTTAGTGTTGCCAGATACGAAACCAGTATAATTTCCGATCACGCAGTGAACAGTTACGCAACGTGCCTGGCGAGGGACAGACAGACGTGACGCCGTTACCAACGGTAGCCGACTTATATATTCTCTGTTCTTGCAATACTAGTTATGATAATATTCACTTGAAGTCGTTTACTGAGCTTATTTCAATAAAATTAGGCAAAGGAACCCTTCGCTGTTGAAATTTCTTACAAATTATCTATGTGTTGCTTTAAGGCTTAAGCGATAAGTACTAAAAATTAAACATCGATGATAAATTGAAAAAATTTACGACTTCCGATTCTTACAGCTCTCGGTAGCTGAATTGATTGGAGCCGGTTCAAATCCTCCCCAGTTTTATTTATTTTTTCAATTCATATAGTGTCATCCTGTACAATAACATGTGAAAAATATTTATGTTTTCAAACAAGCACTAAGAACAATTAAATTATGTTAAGGACCGCGCCATTACAATATACTCGATGATAAAATGATTAATGCAGTCCTATAATGCTAATTTCTATTTTTAAAAAATGACACAGTATGTGATGCAAAGTAACGTTAGTTATTCTTGTACTCAAGAAGTCTTATACGATTTCGTAAAAATCATACCTAACACCTGGAATCCTATACTAAAACACTAGATCTCAAACATACGGTATGCCGGACCCCGTGAGTCAGTTCTGTAAACACCCAGCCAGTTTCTCCAAATACCAAATACGACGAAACAGATGGAATGATTTTAGTTTAGTCCCCTGTGGCCACGGCTTCAAAGCATCCAAAATGTCGGGATGTAGTTAAAATAAATTATAAACTAATAAGTTTCACGTTTTAAACCGTTTTATTAAAAAAGCACACCAAATATAAATAACCGACCAACCAACCAAACATAATACATTTTTATAGGCTGATTATTGACACTCATATTATAGATAGTTGTTGCTTATATATGTAACGTGATACACAAAAGGCAGAGGACACTGGCTTCAGCCGATAAGGCGATGTTGGCTACCCACTGGCCTAGTGCGGCTTATGGGCAAGGAGGTCAACTGACCTTCGCTTGCTTGGCCGACGAAAATACCGAATGAAAATAGGACATAACCTACATTATAACACCTGTACGTACTGCAAATACGTAAACCAAACTACCCTCCTTGTGGTACAGTACAGACCTCTGAGGGCTCCAGTCTGCCTCAGTCGTTCTAATATTTCCAGGTTCCTAGCAACTCTAGCCCACCATCGCAGGTTGCACAAATTCATTGCATTTTCTACATTTGTCTTGGCCTCTTGAGTGTGTTGCTTTTAATGAATTTAGACAAATTGGCGAGTAAAAAATTTTAATTCTCGGATTGCATTAGTTCATTGCATAGTAAAAAAGTGGTGTAGATATGTCTGAACATATCTACACCACTTCTTAGTTAAAATCTATTAATTATCTTGTAAAAAAACGTCCTATGTCTTTTTTATTATTTATTGGATCAATGTGCCCATCAAACTAATTCGTTCGAACTTCGGTTGACACATCTGTCACCAAAAGGCGAGGGGAGTGATTTCATTTCAGTTTCAGCCTGCGGATTTCTGAATTTACAAAACCAATAAGGCCTCGTTTAGATATTATAAAGCGGAGGTAATACCCATCTAGACAGTGAATCCCTGCTTGTTTAAAAAAAATCGTGGTTTGAGTAGTTAAAACAGTTATTAAATAAGTAAGTTATTAGTTAGCATATCTTTTAATAGCTTAACCCAATAACAATAACACGACGTCTGCGTCCTAGGAAAAGGAAAGTTAGTATTTATCAATCTAAGAGTCACCGTTCATACAATAATTGTAGAATACATTTAAAGTAAAAACACAAGTGTTGTCACGATTATTTGTTGTGTATTAATAACTTTGTGTAAGGCTATTTTGCCTAGATTCTTGCTACAACAACCTTAACGGCTTGAAACGCGAAATAAACAATTTTTGAACCACTAGTTTACAGAAGGCGAGGTTACGGGGGGAGTGAAGATAGAGAGTGTCTCTTATGTCAAAGTAAAAACGGTTACGATAGCGTAATGTATTCTACACGGCTGCAAAGCATCTGAAACGTTAAATTAAAAATAAGTTACCATATTAATTTAGAACGTTAAAAGCGTTTTATTGAAATTTTCATTCGCGTTTCATTCAGATAATAAGAAATGTTTTTTCATTTGTGCCATCAATAAAAGAAACTCGTTAGTTCTATTCAATTGTTATAGTTTCAAATTATATAGCATACCTAATCCATAATACTCTAGAAAGTATCATTTTCTATCGTCCTAAATCCTAAAACACGACATGTTGTGTAATTTCTTAGTATGAGGATCTTCAATCACGTATTACGAATTAAAATTAACTTTCAATATCTTTCTACTTCTTAAGTAGTAGTCGTACGCGTAAGTAGCATTAAGTTCCTTTTTTGCACCATAAAGAATCGTTATTATATTTCAATTAATGTAATTAGAACAGCGGACATCAAATACCTATTATTATATTATCATACAAATGCACGTACGTATACAATAGAAAGACATACTTGTATTGCGCGAGACGTGCATGTAACAATAGGTTGAAAAAATTTGGCGATTACGTGTAGGACACGGTAGTTCCATAGGTTAAAGCATTAGCACGGAACGCTGTGGATGCCGGTTCAAAGCCCGCCCGTGTCGATATTAAAAAAAAAAATATAATCGATTTTTGATTGATCCTTGTATACCAAATAAAAAATAAATGTGAATTCTAATTTTACAAAAGTAACAAAGAAATATGACGATATATTAAGTTGGCAATAAACATATTAAAGTCATGAAAAAGGAATATACATAAAGGCATATAAAAAGCCCTTAATTTATAGCACCAGAATCTAGTAAGATATATGTTTTTTTTATAAATCTCACCGAAAAAAAATTAATCGGTCAGTCTCGGGAATTATATATTTAAGTTAATAATTATTATATAACTTCCGAGAGAGTCACCGATAACTCCTGTAAGAGTACCCTGTGTTCGATGCTCCTTCAAGTGAACGGTGGCTAATAGTGACAAACTTATTTTGTAATATATCGACCTCAATTCAAGAATAAATATAGTGAAGGCTGCGTTTTGCAACTAGCTTGATTATATTTGTGTAGCTATTTACTTTCTTCATTTATTTACCAGGCCTTTAGGTTGCTAATAACGCATTAGCACTTGTCGAACGCTGGTCTTGTGTTGCACACACAAAGTCGGTATATGTATATAAGTAAAATCGAAAATGATCTTTAAACATTTGATATTTCTAAACCAGTTCATAATACGAACAATAAAAATAGTTCAATATCTAGAACGACACAATGCGCTGCACGAAGCTTCGATTCTCACCTGCCATAATTTATTTCAGTCAAAAGATTAAAATGAATGGACACGTCTTGTAAAATATTTTTAATGTTAAATTAAAAAAACAATAATCTGTTTGGTAACATTTAGTTATTTTTATTTACTACGTTATGCCCGACGTTTCGGATGCTGTCAGCAGCTATGCTTTGTCTAAGGGTGTCTCTAATGTACTTAGGTCAAGTAGTTTTTGGTGTTAGGTTTTGGCGCTAGCGTAGTAGTTTCAACTTTGACTTTAAGAGAAACCTTACGTCAAACGGGACGGGATCTAATACATTTCGGGTTTTAAACCGTCAAATTTTTACTTAAATGTGTAGGTACTCGTATAAACTACAGAGGGTACTTAAAATTTTGAATATACTTCTTGGGTAAATATTTGTCAAATTTCTTATTGTGTATGAGAGTGGGCAGGAATGATATATAACTATTTCACTCATCGGTTATATTCTCAAGCTGATAATCAAGTCACATATTGACCGATAGTTGTTCCTTAATTTTGTACCAATTTGAACATATTCTACACTACAACCCAAGGGTACAATCTGTCTCCGGGTTTCCAACACGAGGTTTGCGAACAAAACAACATTTCCAATTCTAAAATGGACAAATTAAAAATTCCTTTAACGTATTCACAGGCTGATACTTTTACTGACATTAGCATGCATAACAACGTTTTATCTATCATCAGATCACTTACATGTAATTCATTATACTTAACATCACAATAAGTTAAGATACCTATGTAGGACCCAATTACTGATGTACACAGCATTGTTAACGTAAAATTAGTGTTTCGAATATACAGAATTCGAACCTAATTATAATAAAGTGTCTAAAGTCACAATACTTTATTTTTAAATCGTACAAGAGTACTGTGGGTTCCAAACGACGCTTCCAAATTCCAGTGTGCTATGAACTAAAGAGTTAAATATTGTTATTAATGTGCGGTATAAAGGTAAGCTTGCTGTCAGTGGTATTCTTAGATCTCTCATCTCCATCACGACTTCAAGCTGCCTACCTCCAACGACATAAGTAGATTTTTTATTAAGACAATTTTAATGGTTTATGATAAATAGAAATTAGGATTTATATATACATATTTATGACGCGAACAGGCGTAAAAGTACCTCAAAACAAATCTAAAAAGGCTTTAAAATTATTTAAATTCTTAAGCCTTTTAAGGAAACAAAAAAAATAATAAAACAAATGCTCAAATTCAAAAATAATTAACCTTCCCTGTAAACCGGCTTGAAGTTAAAATTCTAGAAACGAAAATATTTCGCCCTTTAAACCGTTAAAAGTAAACAGGTAATATAAACCACCAGAGTAAGCTACAGCAACTTTTTTATTCAGGTTTTCTAATTAGTTTCCTCTGAATTTAAAAGTGTAAACTTTTTTATTATTAACATAGAATGATAGAAAGATCAAGTGAGGTGCTAGTGGGTATCGGAGGCAGGGGTCTGAACTCAACAGCATCACTTTTGCCTAAGCTCTCTCCCCTGGGTGGCGGTGGGGGTGGTGTTATTTCACTCCCACCCGCTTCCTCTGCTTCTTCAGGCACCGCAGCGTATATATGTGACGAATCCTCTTCCGAGTAATCTGGAGCGAGTCTCTTCAAGCCCTCGATAATAGCCTGATACGAAAAGCGTAGTTGATCAGGCGTCTGGATCAGCCCCATGCGGCTTTGGCGCAGCTCTTTAAGGATTTCCTGTATATTGACGGTATCCTGTCCGTCCCTTTGCATAATTGCAAGACACGAATCTACTAAACAGAAAGTTCCAGAGCGTCCTATGCCAGCGCTGCAATGTACAATGGCAGGACAATCGGGTTCCAAAGCACCAGACGCCCTCACTGCCTTCAAAAAGTCTAAAAACTTTTTTGGGGAACTCGGCACTCCAAAATCTGGCCATGTTATATAGTGAAACTGAAGCACCACTCGGGATTCTAAGGTGATTGTGTCATGAAGCAAAATTTTGCGAACTATGTAATAACCAAAGTTCTCTACACTAGTAAAGGTTATTTCTAGGTTCACCTCCTTTAAAGAACATACAGCATTAAACTGATTTGGCCAATACTGGTGGCATTTTACTTCATTCTTTTCAAACAGCTTGTTTAACATGAGGATTGCCTTACTTTTTTCATGAAATACCATTGACCAGAAGTGATTAACGGTAAACTTTAGTGGTCCCTGAGTTAGTATATATTTGCGGTTTGCACGATCCAACTTAACATAATTGGCATTGATATAATCTCCGTCACACCGTTGTAAGATAACTCTGCTATGATCATACGGATTTACATCTCTGTATCTGTTAAGATGTTTGTTTTCTGCTTTTCTTGCTTCGTTACAAGTATATCCATGTGCTAGACTTTCCTTTCCGATTTTCTGGTAAATCACGGGCCATGAGTTTTCGTTAGTGATGTTCATGTATTCCACTTCTACGATGCTTCTGGGTTTTTCTTCGTCTTGCATTTTGGAATTATATAGTTTCAAAACTCGATAAAAATCTTATAAAACAACCGGATGCTAAAAATCACGCCGGCGGGTAACTGTTACAACGACTCAACGAAAAGTATTGAACTCGAAACTACCTTCTAAATTAAATAAAATCGAAGAACATATAACTGTATGATGAGATAAAGTTTCTAAAGTATATTTTGTCTCACCAAGGCTTCTTTTCTTCGCGGCTACTCGTCGTGTGATGTCTTCTAATGCAGTAATGTTGAGATTTGTTTGAATGTAAAGAATTATTGACTTTCAAATGTGCGCGCGCCACTAGTTCAAGGATTTGTCGCATGGTGGCGCACTAGTCTCATACTCATTATCATAAATAATATAAACTGTCATTGAAACTTATAGAATGATTTTAGTCTGTGCGTGTATCGAAATTTTTGTAATGTCATTGTTTATATGCGGTCGCCTAAAAAGTGCAAATAATAATCTTTTATTGTCGTTTCTTTTTCAGGTAAGAGAATATTAGTTGTAAGATTAGTATTAGGTTCACTGTTGTATTAGTGTATTGTATTTTTGTTTGGTTATAATAAACTTTTCTTTTTCAGAAACCACTTAAAGTTTTATTATTTCACCAATAATCTTATAAAACGACAATACTGGTGATTATTAAACACAATGGCACAAAAATTGCAGTTTTCGTTTATATACGAAGCATCGCAGTCGGATAACTAGTGTTATCGCCATTAATTCGATTACAAAAGAAAACAGTACAAAGTATATTTTACAAGAACCAGACCGATATGCAAGTCGACATACTGCACTGACCCAGACAGATGGTCAAAAAAAAGTTTAAATCAAAGAGTAAAAAAAAGTTTAAATCAAAGAGGTCAAGAAAGAACAATTTGGATTACATGCACAGAAGAAATGGTACAAATTTATTTTGATGAAGATGATAACTTAATGTTTAATGACTTATATCTTAAAGAAATAAAACAAACAGAATTAGTACAATCCACTCAAAAAAACGAAGGTCAATTAAATTTGAAAAATATATCTGAAAGATTTATGATTGAGAAATTTGTATGTAAATTCACAAATGCAAAACAATGGATAGACACATTTGAGAGTGAATGCAAACGCTTTGAGGTTATAATAGATGCAACAAAGATAGAAATATTGAGACTATTCTTGGATAAATCATGCGTGGACTGGCATTCAGCAACACTGAAAACTTTGAAAATAGAAGCTGGCTGGTTGGAGTGGAAAAATAAATTTTTGTATTCATTCGCTGATAAAGGATGGAGTACAGGAATATATGCCATATTTTACAAATATAAGGACGGATCACTGATGGAATATGCCATAAGAAAAGAAAAATTATTATTAGATATGGATGAAAATATTGGTAGTAAAAGTCTAATGACACTTATAGCAGCTGGTTTACCTGAATTTATTAGAAATAGAATTGATCCAGAAAAGTGTGAATCCTCAACGACATTGCTTCATGAAATAAGTAAGTGTGAAAATTTAGTAAATAATAAAAGCTATATAAAGAAAAGAGAAGTAAAAGATGATAATAGAAAATATGTTGGAGGGAAAAAACCATGCAAAAACTGTCAAATTTTGAATAAAGGTACTCGATACCACCCAGAAGAGTCTTGTTGGTTTAAAATAGAAGGAAAGGAGAACAAGGTTATTGGAAGTAATTCTGTAATAGAAGTGGATCTTTGTAAGGAGAAAAAAAACGAGTAAGCACACCATTGATCAAAGTAAATATGTTATTAGAAGACAAATTGGAAATACTCGGAACATATGATTCAGGCTCTCAAGTCTCTCTAATTAACAAAAGATTAGTAAGAATAAAAAATGATTTAGATGATACAAATAAGGTATTATTAAAAACAGTCAATGGTGTGACAGTTACAAAAGGTTTGATAAGTATTAAAGTGAAGGTTTTTGATATAGAAGAGTATGTTGATGTTTTCATTATAGACAGAGTTGATTTTGAAGACTTTATAATAGGCCTAGATATGATAAAAAAATTTAGATTAACTCAAAATGAAGATCTGAAGATATCGAAAAAAATAGAATCGGAAATAAACACTATGAATGGACTTAAAGAGAGTGAAATAATAAAAATCAACTTTAATGAGCATGTGTGTAGAAATGAATTCATCACAAACCTACATCACTTAGACAACATCAAAAAAACTCATATAAAAGGTTTATTAGATAGATATAATACTGTATTTGCAAAAAACAAATATGATGTTGGCACAGTAAGAAAATATGAAACCCGGATAGATTTACTAGTGGACAAGTACTGCTACAAAAGACCATATCGTTGCACAATTGATGATAAAGTAGAAATAGAAAAACAGATATCAAATTTTTTAAAAAACAAATTAATTGAAGATTCGTTTAGTCCTTTTGCAGCGCCAGTAACGTTAGCATTTAAACGAGATGAAAACACTAAATCTAGACTATGTATTGATTTTCGGGAACTAAATAAAATAATCGTACCACAAGCACAACCATTTCCATTGATAAGTGACTTAATCGTTAAAGCAAGAAACTGTAAATATTTTACCACACTTGATATAAATTCAGCTTTTTGGTCTATACCATTACGTATAGAAGATAGACAGAAGACAGCATTTGTTACACAGGATGGACATTATCAATGGACATGCCTGCCATTTGGACTTAAAATATCACCCGCTATTTTCCAGCGAATTTTATCTAATATATTAAGAAATAATAATTTGAAAGATTTCACCGATTTTTTATATCGATGATATATTAATATTTTCACAGTCATTTGAAAAACATATAGAACATATTGAAAAAGTACTTAAAGCAATAATAAACGAAAGTTTTAGACTAAAATTTAAAAAGTGTACTTTTGCAGCGATGTCGGTAAAATATTTAGGACATATAATAGGAAACAATGAGGTAAAACCAATTAAAGATAATATTATTTCAATAAGGAATTTTCCAACACCAAAATGTCAAAAGAATATTAGACAATTTCTAGGTAAGATAAACTTTTATTTATTTATTTATTATTATTCTTACAGAAATACACGTATACATACAATTGAAAATAGACATTGATCAAATAATAACGTGAATTCTAGTTACAAAGAATAAATTAAGCAACATGGTATTCGATTGGCAGTTAACATACAGGATACATATAAATAACAAGTTGGACTAGGCACATTTTGCGCCATATTCTTAATTAATTATTATATAATGCTAAAAAAAAGAGGAAATACAATAACTAAGTAATATAAAATAAAGTCACTCAAAAACAGTTTTTAGGTAAGCTTTGATCTTTCTTTTAAAAGTAAGGGATGTGTCAAACATTATGTCGATGTCAATCTTCGATAACAGTTCATTATACGTTTTGCACAGTCTGTTTAACACGGAATCGACTTCAAGTCGTGTCCTGCTCAAGGGAAGACGAAAGGATGCACACATCTTGCGTGGGGGTCTGTGAGGCACGTTGATATTTATTTTTGCTAACAGGGATGGGCAATCGAAGTTATTGTTTACCACTTTATGCAGGAACATCATATCCAGCAGAAGGCGTCTTGATTTTAGTGACAGGATGCTAAAATGATTTAGTTTTATAGAATACGGGATATACTTCGCGCAAGGTAAATGTTCCCGGAGGGCTAGCGTTCTAAGTATCTTTTTTTGTACGTTTTCAATCCTATTTTTATGGACTGCGTAGCTAGGATTCCATACTTGACTACAGTATTCTAATTTGGATCTTACTAGTGCATTATACAGAAGCAACGTCGTGGATGATTTTTTAAAACTCTTTGTGTTTCGCAAGACAAAAGTCGAACATTTCGAGGCCGAAGCTACAATTTTGTCGATGTGGTCGATATACCCAAGCCTTGCATCCGGAAGTATACCTAGGTCGTGTATTTTTGATAACTTTTCCAGTCGGTGGCCCTCAATAGTATATTGATGGTCAAAATTGCTTAGTTTACGTGTATAAGACATTTGGAAGCATTTTACGGGGTTTAGGTACATAAAGTGAGTCTTACACCAAACTGATAGAGCATTAAGGTCACTCTGTAGCAGATCAGCATCGTTCTCGTTCCTTATAACGCGAGCTAATTTTAAATCGTCTGCAAACAGGAACGCTTCTGAATGTTTAAAACAAGATATTATGTCATTGACAAAGAGGTTGAAGAAGAGAGGCCCAAGGACTGAGCCTTGTGGCACGCCAGAGGTAATAGGGTAAGGTGAGGATAGAAAGCCATTAACTGCCACTACACTTGTTCTGTTTCGCAGGTAAGTATCACACCAGCTTAATAGAGATTATGTTATTCCAAATTTCTTTAACGTAGCCAGAAGCCTAGTGTGATCTACTTTGTCGAATGCCTTAGAGAAGTCTGTATAGATGGTGTCTACTTGCAGGTTTTTATCAATAGCATTGGCGAAAATGTTCGTAAACTCAACCAGGTTCGTAGCTGTTGAACGACCCTTCATGAAACCGATGGTTGCTGATTTTATACCTAAGTTGGTTTATTATGCAGTCATAGACGAGGGACTCGAAAACCTTAGCCGCCGCAGAAAGAATGGATATGGGACGGTAATTGGCGATATCTTCATGCTTTCCACTTTTGAATATCGGAACAATTCTAGCTTCCTTCCATTTGGTTGGGAATGAGCCAGTCTCAAGGGATTTGTTGAATATAAGAGTGAGAGGACGGGATAACGGGATTTATAACGAGTACATTCCAAATAGTTCAATAATATTAGATCCATTACATAGATTATTAAGGAAAAATGTTCAATTCGAATGGTCAGAAGAATGTGAAAAATCCTTCTCTGATATAAAAAATATATAATGCTCGCAACCAGTACTGGAAATATTCGATAAAGATTTGCCTATAACAATTTACACGGATGCCTCGTTGAATGACATAGGTGCAATATTAAAACAAATTCAAAATGATGGAAAGGAAAAACCAGTTGGATATTTTTCAAAAAAATAATATACACAAAAAAAAGGCTATATTCCTTGAATGCTTAGCAAAAAAAAGCTATCAAATACTGGCAATATTGGCTAATGGGTAGAAAATTCACAGTTTTTTCAGATCACAAACCATTAGAAAACCTTAACATTAAATCTAGGACAGATGAAGAACTCGGTGATTTGACTTATTTTTTGTCACAATATGATTTCAACATTAAATATATTCCAGGGAAAATGAACATTGAAGCAGACAGTCTCAGTAGAAATCCAGTCCTGGAAAATAATGATGATGATGAAGAGATTTTAAAAATTGTTAATCTCATAACACTAGACGATATAAAAGCAGATCAGCACAAAAATGAGAAAATCTGGAAAATAAAAAATAAGTTAATTGAAAGAAATGGGATACTATACAAAAAGAATCGAAACAAGGTTAAAATTATACTATCTGAAGAAGCTAGTGTCAAGCTAATAAAAGAAGTACATACTGAATGGTGCCATTTAGGGATAAATCAAATGATAAATAAAATTAGTCCTTATTATACAGCAAAAGGTCTAACAAGAAACATAAAAAAAATATGCAAGGATTGTGAAACTTGTATTAAAAATAAATCTAGAAGCCAAAATAAAATTGGTTTACTTTCACATCTGGGACCAGCATCAAAACCATTCCAGATCATGTCCATTGATACAATTGGTGGCTTTGGAGGACAAAGATCGACAAAGAAATAACTACATTTGTTAGTTGATCATTTTACAAGATTTGCGTTCATTTTAACATCAAAAACGCAGAATTCTACAGATTTTATTAAGTTAGTAAAAAAAGTTTTGGAGACCGAGAAAATTGAGATATTACTAACAGATCAGTATCCCGGGTTAAATTCAAAAGAATTTAAGGATTTTTTACTGGATAATCAGGTAAAACTTATTTTTACTGCTGTTGATACTCCGTTTTCAAACGGACTCAATGAAAGATTGAACCAAACACTAATTAATAAAATGAGGTGTAAAATAAATGAAAAAAATGAGAAGAAATCCTGGGCATCAATTGCGAACGAATGTATAGACAAGTATAATGAAACCGAGCACTCAGTAACAGGCTTTGCGCCAGCATACTTATTAGAAGGAAAAGTCACCAGTGTCTTGCCTCAAGAACTACGACATCCAGTGGATATAGACACTTGGGTTAAAGATAGAAAGGAAGCACTTGAAAGAACCATTAAATCTCATATGTATAATAAGAAATTATTTGATAAAGGAAGGAAACAGAATGAATTCACTATAGGTGATTTGGTATATATTGAAAACGGTAATAAAATTAATAGGAAAAAGCTAGATAATTTAAGAATCGGCCCATTTCAGATTAAAGATAAAATATCAAATACAATATATAGAATAAATACAGGGAAAAGAAAAGATACAAATTTATATCACATAACAAAATTAATTCCAATGGAAAACGAAATTAATGATGAAGAGGATAATGCTTAGTAGAAGGTGAACTTCGATAAGAATTACATGAGTAATTCTCATCCTGGACGAGGGAGATGTAAAGAATTATTGACTTTCAAATGTGCGCGCGCCACTAGTTCAAGGATTTGTCGCATGGTGGCGCACTAGTCTCATACTCATTATCATAAATAATATAATCTGTCATTGAAACTTATAGAATGATTTTAGTCTGTGCGTGTATCGAAATTTTTGTAATGTCATTGTTTATATGCGGTCGCCTAAAAAGTGCAAATAATAATCTTTTATTGTCGTTTCTTTTTCAGGTAAGAGAATATTAGTTGTAAGATTAGTATTAGGTTCACTGTTGTATTAGTGTATTGTATTTTTGTTTGGTTATAATAAACTTTTCTTTTTCAGAAACCACTTAAAGTTTTATTATTTCACCAATAATCTTATATATGTACGAGTGTAAATTATGTTTGACACCAATTGTCTATTCACATTAATATAAAGGTTTTGACTATTCAAACAAAATGTCATATATCACGTAATGTTACCTACTTGACACACTTACCCACTTAGCTCAGCTGTAAGGCGATTGGTCATGAAATATTGTTATTTTGTAAGCGTTTTGTGGTTTTATTGTGTCGTTAGTTTAGTGGAATCTCATTTCCCTCTGCGGGGCATACGTTAATACATATATTTGTATCCGATTTATTGATTGAATTTATTTACAGGCAAGTAATTGATTTGTGTTTTGTACCTAGCCCGACCGAAGCTTTTAATTGTTTTATTTAATTAAATATATTGTTTGACTGAAACAATCTATTGTTTCAAGCCAATAACGACAAACACGATCGACAATGATTAGGTTGATTTGATGGAAATTAAAATCACCCTAGCTACATAACAGTTCTGTGCTGTCGATTGATTTTGGCTCTAAGTTTTTTTAAATCGAAAGACTGAAACTGAACGGAATTTCGATATTTTTGCTGTGGATTTATTATCCTACTTTTCAGACGAAGACCGATTTGATTTAGAAAAAATATACTTTGATTGGAAACTTGGACTGGGAGGGAATCGAACCCGCGATCTGTCAACCATCTTACCTTACATTGCTATCATTAGACCAACAAACCCGACAAAACTAACTAACACATTAGTTACAATACAAAGGTGCCGATGGCAAATGTTTCGAGATACGTCGACTGTGCACGAATGTAGCAGAATGGATAGTCTAATATAATAGCTCAATTATACAATGGGTCTTACTCAACGTTAGGTAATACCATTGTGTGGGTCAACAAAAGGCTCTGTGGGTTCAGCCTTAGAAATCGTACGGTTATTTTTATAACAGCCCATTCTTAGAGTTAGGCGTTTGAATGTGCATCTGTATTACAACTTTTTTATCGCGCTTCAACCTCAAATCTACTTGAGATTATTTTAAATTGACGAGTGTTTTATAATGAAACTCATTAGATAATTTCTTTTACTAACGTCATTTTTACTTACTGCTCGGAATAAAATACAATTTGGGGGTAGTTTAGTTTTTTCGATTCTACGACCGATCCTGTTTAGCGCGCACTGTCAGATTTTGGGCGCTGCTCTAGCGCGCCGGTTGTGCAACGATTTTACTAATATGTATGTATATGTGACCACCAATTAAGAATAAATGGTTAACAACCGCGTGTTAGAGAGACTATTGGTTTTGCTTTGATAGTTATCGCAAGTAGTGCATTTTAAAAAGTAATTCTTTTCGACTGGAAAAACAAAGGTTTTTTAACATAATTAGAATTCTTCTTATGTGGCCGCCCTTTAATGCCAATAACGATACAGACTGCCGCACCACAATAATAGTGCACATAAGCCTGGACTTTGCTACTGGACCGGAGCTGGAGGCACGTCCTTACATTATTGCACCTAGTTAAGCGAATGCTTATCGAAAGTATGTATCGACATTTATATCTTTTGTAATGCTAATATTTTGCAAATCAAAGTTTCTTCAATAATAACAAACATACTTAATGTGTCCCAATAATGAATGGAAATTTTACAGTATTAGAAATCCGGTTATTCAGTTTGTCCTAATCAACCTTGTCCATTGAAGGCTAACCACAAAATTTACGTGATATTTGTACAAATATTAATTACTCACGAATACAAAGATGTACAATATATATGTACTACATCGGTTTCCCTAATATGTTGAAAATACATAAATAAATAACATGTTTATGAACATTCGTTTAATTATATATGTTAGGTTTCATCCCGCAAACAACAGCAATAATTATTATAGTTCGACAACTTATAGGGAGCGGCGTGCGCGTTTAACTCTTTTGATATAAAGATTCAAAGTGGTAAATGTGCGACGATTATATACTTACAGTATACAGTTAGTCTCCAAGATTTCCATTTTAGATGAAGTAATTTAAAATTAATAGAGTTCACTTAAGGTCAAATAATCACTTGAAAGATTTCTCAGTGTTACATAGAATTATGTTGACACGACTTTTCGATAAAGCTTAATATGTGATGTAATAAAATTTGTAAAACAAATTAGATTTTATTGGTAGCGTAGCGTAGGTGACGGTCTGTTTTTGGAAATACGCTTATTAAGATGAATTGCAAAGTAACAACTAACTAAAAATATTTGCTAAATAGCCATGGATTCCACCACCATCTCATACTTCATTCTAAATTCACATAATATTTACCATGTGCTGCTATAATCAAATATTTCCTTAAAAGTAAACTTGACGATCGATTAACCGAGAATCCTTGACGAGTGACATTTAGTTTACAGCGATAAAAAACCAATTGATCCGTCATTTATGTTAATTCTAGATATATTGTATGGAAATTTGTTCATAAATTATGCGTTCCAACAAAACATATTAATAATTCAATCTTATTACCTTTTGGAAAATTCTATTGACCTACTTATTTTTGGTAATTTTATATCTTTCAAATGGTCATGGACGATTTAGAATTAAGTAATATGAATTTTATTTCTTTTTAAATATAATGTAAAGCGGATGAAGTTGTTATAACCATTAATAGGGGATAAAAAATTCCTTGGAAACGTTTGGCGAGAGGCGCGCGCGTTGAACTCTTTTATATAAAGATTCTTACTGGTGATTCTTTAGGCCAATTTTTAATATTTACTTTACAAATTTAAAAAAAAATACAGGCTGTAGCAATATAGTTCACTTTAATAAGCCTTTAAAACAATTTTTAAAAATAATTTAGTTAAATAATAAAAAATTTAAATTAAAAAAATATTACGAGACCAAATAAATTTAAAAGGTGAATTTTGGTATTAAAATAAATTGAACGATAATGGAATCGTTAAAGCAATATTGAATCGTGAAATCGATGAGACCGTAACTAATCGATTTAAAGCCTGCGCTTATATCACTTCTGTTTCCACTTTTACATTTTGTAATCGTTTTTTTCTATGATATACATATGAGCACATCAAAAGCTTAACAAACACTTTATTATTTTTTCATTTATGAAGTTGTATTATTACTTATATAATTGCATTAAACTTTGATTGATTAGACTAGTACGTTTATTATATTTTACTACCAGCACATTTTAAACAGACTTAAGTTTAAAAGTATGAGAAAATAAAAAAATGCTGATAAGTATCCCATTTACATTATAGATATTTTATTAGTTAGGATGCTGTCTGAAAAAAATATCACGAGCACCAAATACTTCTGCAAATGTAATTCTAAATATACTACTAGGATTCAAAGAACTTACCAGTTATTTCTTCGTTCAGGCGAAATCACAAATGTCCAGATTTTTATTAAATCACTTAAACTTCACTTCACATATCTAAAAATAGACTAGCTCAAATAATAGTCGAAGTAATAAAAGAGTACATAGATTATGACCGCGTAAGCCGCGAACTTCAAGTATAAGATACAAAAGTCTTTTATGAACTGAAGAACAGTTTGGGAATGTGTGGTTTGACTCTCAACGTGCATTTAAGAGGACTGGAAAAAATTACGTGATATTGTTAACGTTTTTGGGTTGTGTAACGGTTTTGAAGCCTTGTAGGATGACTAAGTATTATTTAAATGCATATGCCGAGTTAAGCTCGCTAATTTTAACGCGATTCTCGTTAATAACGGCTACTTTTGTGAATTATCACCAAAGAATGCAGTTGTTCTCTTTAGTTTTATTTATTTATTTTTTAGTAAATTATCTTGTTTCTTATGAGGTTAAGCATGTACTAAACTAGGGACTAAATATGTAGCAATAATATAAAGATTTCAAATAATATATAACAACCTAGTCCATACTGGACCGGTCGTCCGGGACCATGAGGTCCCGGGTTCGATACTAAGTAGTCGAAATATTACTTCGTTATACATATTTTTTCTAATCCGGTAGACATTTTAATAGTGGAATATTTCCCCGCTTTTATCGGAGAAGGCACTCAGCTATGGTCCCGTTTTTTAGAAGAAATTTAAGGGCGATCGTAGTGGAGCAGTGATTTATTATTGATTAAGTTAGATAATTTTGTAATTATTAAACACATGCAAGACTTTGAAATCGATAGTAAAAAATATTCGATTTAATATTATAAATTTGAGTAAGCCAACGTTTAAATTATAACTTTGTTTATATTATAGAGAGGCAAGGTGCAGTATAAACTTCAGAATAGATAATTTGTAATGTAAATTAAGAAAAACCAAAATCAAATGTCAAAAAGATCAATGTCGGAATGCAGATTGTAAATCAAAACGGTCCTATTAGTTAGGGCCATAAATTACAAAATACATTAAGCACTTATTGCAAAAACTATTATTACATAACTTACAGGTTTTATTTCGCAACTTGCATTAGACTTCCTAATGAGTCACACTGGATTTTATAGAAAATAATAACACGATTTTATAAATTGATATATTTGAACTAATTTCCTGTTCCAAATCTATTGCAAGGCCGGTTTGGTATACATAACAACATATAGCGGTAGGTACACAGGTGGATTTTAAATTTCGAATTTAATGAATCTA